AAAAAATCAACAAAAACGCACAAATATCAAAACAGAAACGAAGAAGAAAAACGGAGTAAAACTAAAACTAACCAGGGCGGAGATGGTCAGGACCGGCGTTGATGAGGTTCATAAGGCCGGCGCGGCCGTAGAACTTGGCGAGAAAAACGGTGGCGTTGGCCTGAGATTCAGGGCTCTTAATCCAGTGCAAACAGGGGCGAATACTGCAATTTTCGCTGCAACCTTTGCGAAGTACTCTGCAACCATTACAACTCATCCGCATTTTGAGCAACAACAATGGCAGAATTGAAGCATAAAATCCGAAGAAGAACCAGAGAGAGAGAGAGAAATTGGGGGAAAAAGAGTTTTCAGGATTTGAGAACGAAAGTACAAGAGGGTATTTAAGGGGCGAAAGTGGAAACTAATTAATATAATCCGGGAGCCGCTGGGTTTCTTCAGGGAAAATGGGGGCACGCAGTTTTAAATTAATAAATAATATTATTATTATTATTTATTTTATGATAAGAATTGAAAATTGGAAAAATACTTTTGAAAGACTGGTTTCCATACTCGTGGAGGTCGGATTTTGAACCCACTTTTTTCTTTCTTTGTACTTAATAAAAAAAAAAATTGCAAACTTCACCTTCAAATATAAACCATCATGATTCCAATTCTTAATACCACGCGCCCTACCTTCCTGTTTCCTCCACTCGCTTTCTAATTAACCTACTTCTACTTCAGACCTACAAAATTAGATTTAAATTTCAAAAATGATCCTCCTTGATTGGAACATAATTCATTCATAATTTGTTAGGATTTTAATGTATTTGAAGTAAAACGAAATATGAATAGATATTAAATTTTGATCCTGACAATAATCCTTTTGTTCATTCGTTAGAGGTTAGATTTCGCACTCTTACCTTTGTTGTACTAAAAAATGCTTGTATGATTTGTTATGGGTAGCTGTCGAACAGGACACGTGTTCCTCCCTCCACAAGCAGGGGCCCACTGAAAGTAATCTTTCAGTGAAGGCGTCGTCAAGCATAAGGCGAGTCTGCTCATGACGGAACGAAGTACCACGAACGGTTACGCTCCATACATGGCCACAACTGACAGAAAGTGTTGTCGACACGATGGCGCATCCAACGGTCCAAGACGACATGCCTAGGCAACACAGGCAGCGGGACTCCCCTACACTGTCGGGAATGCGTCCCACCCTATCCAGTCGTACAGCGCGTGACATCCTTGTCTCTCCCACCGTCATCTTTCTTGGTCGGCATTCCAGGGCTATAAAAGGAAGATCGATCATCCACACCAAGTAAATTAAAAACCTATCACTGAAATTTTCGGTGTCTAATTCCTATCTTTACTCTTATTACTAACTTGAGTGTCGAAGCGTATTAGGCGGGACACCGTATCAACGTAGAGTTCTTTAGTTTCAAGTTCAGTGTGTCCCTTGTCGAACGGTTCGTCCAGACACCACGTGGCCCTCCATCAGAATTCACCGTCAAACATTATCCAAAAGATATTAATAGAGTAGGCCTTTTTTTAATATATTTTTATTTGATCATTAACAAGTTTATTAAAATATAATTTTTATTTGATTAATAATTAGACAATTCATAGATGTAAAACTATTGTCAGTATATTATATATTATATTATTCATTTATAATTTATATAAATGTGTTGTTCTCTTTCACGTAAAGATAAATGAGAAATGAGGGCCGGATTAGAGGTCTAAACTAACCTAGATGTATATATGGGTATAAATAAGCTTAGTTGATTTTTGGCCAAAATTGATGTTTGACCAAATATAATCTATTTGAGAAAATATTGAGTTAAAATCACTTCTAAAACCCAATCAAATCTATCAAAATTTAATGGATTAACAAAATCTATCAATTAAAACTGAAACAAATCAAAATTAATTTTTTCATCCACTAAATGTAACATGAAAAATCTAGCCTTTGTTTGCAAACTTTTTACATAATTCTTATATGCAACAAAAACTATTTAATACAAAATTATGATTAATACATCTCAAAAAATTTAATGTCGTACTGAAATTGTAATTAGAAAAATGAGATAAATAATTCAAAACAATCAACCTTTTAAAAGTGAAAAAACTAAAAAAAAAAAAACCTTTTAAAAGTACATGAATATAATTAAAATAATTACAATTACCAAAATGAATATCTTAACAATAATATATCAAAATAAACAAAAGGTAAAAGTAAAAAGGAAAAAGAATAATAATTTAAACTAAACAAAATTTAGGATAAAGAGGATCCATCCACTTCTAATCTCTTAAAAGTATAAAACATATTTTTCTCTCTTATTATTAGTATTTTTCATAATGACGATGTTAATTAAATTGATGATTAGTTTGTCTCTTTTGTGCATAGAAATCACTTTTTAATTTGAAAACTTGTCTACATCCCGTTCAAATTTTTTAATGAGAATAAAGCTAACAGCGTTATTGTTTATATATATTTAAGTCGTTGTCTTCTAATTTATTGAAATATAAGTTTGAAATATTTTTTCTTCCAAAAGAGAAAAAAAAAGTATAATTTATAGAGTTAGAAATTAATTGATCCGTACACTCTAAGTTTTTTCTTCTAACATGAAATTTTTTTTTCAATATTAATATTTAATAAAATCGTTTATATCTCATTTGATATTCAAACTTTTAGGTTTATTATGTTTGAGTCCTTAAATAAAAAAGACACAATATTAAATTACAAATTTACCTCTTAAATTTTTAGGTGGTGTTTAACACGTCCTAAACTTAAAAATGTGCGTAATATATACCTGAACATTCAATGATATTTACTAGATGTATAAATTTCTTAAAAAAGTATTTAATATATCAACAAATTTTTAATTTTATATTTAATAGATTCTTTTAGTATATAAGACACAAAATTGAAAGTTTATAGATACTTTTTAAAATTTAAAGATTTATTAAATATAATATAATTTAACAAAAAAAATCATTTTTGGCAGGCAGTAATTTTGCGTCGATTTCTCCCTCACTCAATGCTGGACTGAACTAATTTATCTTGCTTTAATAAGTGTTTACACATTCTAAGCTATATAATTTATTTATCAAATAATTAATAATTATCTTTAATTGAAAAAATTAAAATAGACATTTTAAACTCCAGGGCGCGTGGGGGAAAAACAAAAGTAGACAAAATTCTCCTCTGTAAACTGAGGGCATAAAGTTTGGATTTTTGTGACTCTCTAAATTGCCCTCGTCCGACCCGCCACAAAAAACAATTCCCACCAAGCAAGTGGCAGGAACTTCCGGAGGTCAAACTCGTAATTTCACCAGAAATTTTCTCTAGAACCGACAGGTGGGAGAAAAAGAGGAAGAGAAGACAACATGCAGAGGAATCCAAAAAAAAAAGCGCGTGGCAAACACGGTCAGATGTCAGAAAAGTGGTCGAATTGCCACATAACGTGGAAATAAATGGGCCCTCCACGCGCAGTATTTGGAGAATTAAAATAATAATAAAAATTAAATATCTTAGAGGTTAGAAAAATCTCCTGGTTTTCAGGAAAGATTAGGGGAGAGAGAAAAAAAAATGGTATTTTATTAATTAAAAGGGGAAAAACCAGGATTGGAGGAAAACCAAAACCGAAACCAGAAGCAAAACCAGTGGCCGGTTTTGTGGGATTTCTGGGACTGTGGGCGCACTAGCCAACGGTTTTTTAATTAAAAAAAGAGTCGTGTTACTTTTTCTAATTTCTATTTTTTTAATTAATTTCGGAGTTATCCTAAAAATATATCATTTTTTGTCCTACTTGGATTAATTTTATTGGTTGGGATTTTAGCTAATTGTGTGGCGATCACGTGAACACACTCTTCGGACACATCCAATTTCCCTTTTTTTTTTTCTTTCTTTTTATTTATTTAAATGATCTTTCTAATTTTGGGTTTGCCTTGTTTGGTAACATTGGGAGGGAATCTTTCTTTTTTAGTTGTTAAATTGTATTCATAAATAAACTCTGATTTTTTTTTTTTGCGTTGTTGATAAGATTTTACTACAATTAGATTCGTGCATATTTTATGTTATTATTTGTGATGGGCGATAATTGAAACTCAATTTCTTATATTATAATAATGATTTATAAGAGTGGCTGTAATTGTATGTTGGAAATTTTTATTTGATTTAAGTAATTGTTACTATTAAGATCTGGTTCAATAATGATTTCATTTTTGCACATATGAATTTTTAATTAAAAGCATAAAATAAAATAATAAAATAATTATCAAATGATACTTAAATGGTTTAGTTTTAATTTAATAACTCATTAGCGGTAGTTGAATAATGCATATTGATATGACAACACTAATTAAACACGATTTTGAAGGTGATATAGACTTTCAGTTTAAAAGAGTTTATTTATATATATTTAATTTACTCTAGAATTACTAAAAACATACTTAAACTTTATGGATCGTTAATTTTCAAATATTTAATTGCTATGATCATCTGAACTTAGTAAATTATTTGCCATTTAAACCCAATCACTAGATTTGTATTGTTATAGCTTAATGTATTTCTATCTTTTTAAATGAATTCATGTATTTGTAATATAATGTTCTTAAAAGAGTAGAGTATATAATAGGATTAGTGACAATAATTATATTAGTTGGGGGATAATTTATATTATTTTTATTTTATAAAAATTTGTACTCCAAGTTTCAAAATTGTTATTAATGAAAAGATAACTTCATAATATAACGTCAAAATCATATTTCTACAATATAATTCCATATTTTTTCTCTCTATTTCTTCATGTATTGTTCTTAAAATTATTAGTTCCAAAACTAAATTCCGTACTCTCGACACAATCTCTTCTTCCCAAAACATTTCCGATATATTAAAGAAAATTGTAAAATACATTTTGTCATTAAAGTTTAAAATAAGTGTCTGAAATTTCAAAATAATAACTTCTGATCCTTTCAATTTATAAAAGATATTAATATTCATAGGGTTTCATCTCACTACCAATTGACAATGAGAATAGTAACATTGTTAGGTCTCTTTTCTTTTCAACGTTAAATCCTTAACAAAAGGATTCGAAATGATCATTGAGATACTTAATCATTAGTTAACTGACGTTAAGATGATGTGACAATTACGATAAGACAGCAGTTTGTGGTGAGGTTCTGTTGGAGGAGGTTGAAGAGAGAGAAAGGAGATGGAAAGTCGAATCATAATAAAAATATTATTAAACTAATATATTTTGTCAAATCAATAATATACAGTTAGGAATTTAATCATCACACATTATCTTAACGTTAGACGATCGCCAACGCGAGCTCATATACCTCCAACGAAGAGGTTGTAAGTTCGAATCCCCTTCCCTAACATGTTATACTAAAAAATAATATAACTATCATAATATTACGAATAAAAATATAAAGT